CCTAACGAAATGAACACTGACCCAGAGGCTGTTGAGAGGAAGCCCTGCAGCCCTTAGGGAGACCAGCACACACGGTCTCACACCATCCACTTGGGGGGCACTGAAGCCCTGACCCCCAGACCCCCCAGCCCTTCCCCATCCCGAGCAGCGGACACAGCCCTTCACTCCCAGGAAGATCCCAAGGCTCCCTCCCCCCTGCACCTCCGCCAACACCCAGGGCCCTCCTGCCTCTCCGCTCAGCCCCTCAGGCTTGCTCCATCCCTCGCTCACGTAACCCCTGCTGTCCTCCCTGCAGCCCATGACAGACCTGGATACAAAGATCCAAGAAAAGGCTATGAAGGTGGACATGGACATCTGCCGCCGAATCGATATCACAGCCAAGCTGTGCGATGTCGCGCAGCAGCGGAACTCGGAAGACGTGTCCAAGATCTTCCAGGTGACTAGGGCTGCCCTGCTCATCAGCTGTCCCCTTTGCCTCCCCCAGAGCAGCCCTGGCCTCCGTCCCCGCCTGGCCAACTCCTGTTTCCCTCCACCTCCCACTCACTCCCCTTCCCTAAGAGGTGGCACTGCCTGAGCCTCTGGCCTCCCCAGGAAAGTGTAGGGTCAGGGACTCATGGACTCATAGGCCCATCTGACTTTGCCATCAGGTCTGACCACTTCGTCCCATGGCCGTGGGGACTGAGGCTTAGGGGAAGCTGTGATGTGCTCAGGAAGATAGCATTGGGGCTGGGCAGGAGCTCAGGTCTCCTGACCCACAGCACTCAGTCTCCTGGCCACACTGTGTCCACTGCCCTGCTTCCTGCCTTTTCCTCTGGGTGCCAGTAGTGGGTGGCATCCCCATGGTTGGGGAACCCTGGCCAGGTTTTGGGAACAACAGGGGGATCTGGTGTGAGACCTGGCAGGTGGGCCTTAAAACCCAGAAGAGCTGTTGGCCTCTGACTATTTTTCATTCCCCCCCAAAGAGGCTCTCGATACCCCCCCGACCTAACGTGCAAGTGTGGGTGCCCCCGAGAGACGGCGATCAGGTTAGCGCAAGTGAGGCTGTCCTCCAGGGAGAGCTTGGGAGGTAGCCCGGCTGAACGAGGCACACGTCATTCTCCAAAGGCTGCTTCTTGAGTTCTGGGTTGTGGTTTGGCTTTTGCTTGAGCCCAGGGCAAGAAGGGTGTGTTGTTGCTTTATGTGTGTGACTTTGGACTTTGCTGGGCCAGATCTGGGCCTCCCCAGGGCCTTCTCTCCACCTCCACGCCTTCTTGCTGCCCCTCTGCTGGGAAGCAAGGGAGACCGATGCAGTTTCCATTTGCTCCTGTCTTGTCTGCTGGGCGTGGAAGCTTGGGGAACCTTGGGCAGCCCATCTGTGGCCTTTGCATGTGAGCAGGAGGGCTCCGGTCAGCATGGAGCTGTTTTGGCCCTTGTTAGGGGTTCTCTGTCTCTCTGGCTGGCTCTGAGACATCCCAGGTGACCCTGTGCCCTGGTCTGGCCTGCTCTTCATGGGGTTGCTTCTCTGGTGAAGGGTGAGCTGAGCAGCCCAAGAACCAGGCTGCCCAGAGCAGGGAAGGGTCCTGTCCTCACCTGCATGTCCCCCACGTCATGCTTCCTGCTAACACCGCCTGCTTTTTAGATGATCTGTGCTTCTGTTCTGGCAGGGGCTGGCCCCAACCTCGCTCATCCATCCCGTGGGATGCCAGCTCCCTCCTGATCCACCTCTACCCTCCCTCCCCACCGAGCCCTCCAGCCACCTTGATTGCTTCCTTTCTGGTTCAGGTGGTCCCCAAAAAGAAAGAGCGTAAGGTGGCTTCGGATGACGACATCTCAGAGCAGGACGGGGAGGTGAACCGGTTCTCCGATGAAGAGGTCGGCTCCATGAACATCACGGACGAGATGAAACGCATGTTCAACCAGCTGTGAGTATCCCTGCTGCCCGCTGCTCTCCGCTTCTCCAGGTCGCTTGGGCTGAGAGTAGCCGGTAACATGATGTTCTGGAAGAATCTAGATTCATTTTCAACATACATAGTTTGGGAAGTTTCATGTTTTTAGCTTCTCTTGGGCCTGTGGCACAGTTGAGGGCTGGACAGTGGCTGCTATATCTGGACAGCCCTTATGTTACCTGCCTACTTTGTTCTTTCCTTTCTAAAACTTCCCCCCAAAACAGAGGTAGTGGCAAGTGCTTCAGCTGGGGTGGGGGCTATTCTTGCCCCTGAGATGCAGAAGCCAGGATGTCCCCTCCTGGTCGTGTATAGAAGTATTTGTTGTGAACCCAGAAAGGGAAGAGGCTGTGATGGTGTTATCTGTGGGCTGTTCTTTTCTTTTGGAGACCCAGTCTTGCTCTGTCACCTGGGCTAGAGTGCCATGGCCTCAGCCTAGCTCACAGCAACCTCAACTCCTGGGATCAAGCAATCCTCCTGCCTTAGACTTCTAATAGCTGGGACCATAGATGCCTGCCACCATGCCTAGTTATTTTTTTAGGAGAGATAGGGTCTTTCTACTCAGACAGGTCTTGAACTCCTGACCTCTGGGGGTCTCTCTACTCAGACAGGTCTTGAACTCCTGACCTCAAGGGATCCTCCTACCTTGGCCTCCCAGAGTGCTAGGATTATAGGCCTGAGCCATCACACCTGGCCCTGTGGGCTGTTCTTGATCAGACCTTAGCCAGACCCACCCTGCTAGTTTTCCTCCTGGGAAAGGCTCTGGACATTCACACCTGGGGTGTTTCACAAATGTCACTTTGCTGACTCCACCCCTCAGCCGGGGAGTAGGGTTACCAGTAGCCTTTTGAGGCGGGAAACTGAGCTTCTGAGAGGAGAAGTGGTTGGGCCAAGACTCCTCAGCTAACACGGAGCCAAGCTGGGATTCAGAGCCGGGCCTGTCTGTCACTGTGGTGTACCTCACTATGAAATGCTGCCTGGACAGTGGCATAGTCTGGGCTGGGTTTAGCCAGGGGTGGCCAGAGCCAGCTGGTACCATCTCTCAAAGCTGCTGGTGTGTGTGTCTGCCCACTGTGGGTCAGTGAGGTCGCATCACAGGCTTACGTTTGCCATTGTAGGAAATTAGCAAGTAGCCCCATTGGCGCTCCCCTTGCTGGTTCCTACGGGGGGCCGCTTTGCCAGTACCTCCCTGGGTGTGGTTGGCCTGGGGCAGCATGGCATTTGGCCTTGGCTAGTCAGTGCCAAAATCTTTTTCTTTTTGCAGTTTTTGGCTGGGGCTGGGTTTGAACCTGCCACCTCCGGCATATGGGGCCGGCGCCCTACTCCTTTGAGCCACAGGCGCTGGCCAGTGCCAAAAATCTTCATCCTTATCCATCTTTAACTAGAATCCCCAGGCCCCACTGTGGAATGTGGGAGGTGGTTCCCTCATCGCCTCCACTGTAGTATCACTGTCTCTGCCCTGGTCCCTTTGCTAGGTGAGGCATAACAGAGCTGAGAAATGGAGAGTAGGAGTTAGAACCTGCAGGCTGGAGTCTCTTTGCCTGACATGTCCCTGAACCTGCCATCCCCCGGGGAACAGAACTGAGATGGGGCCTATATTTTGGGGGGTTGCTATTTGACGGTGGCGAGGAGACCTTTAGACTTTTTGTTTTTGAGACAGAGTCTCACTTTGGCATCATAGCTCACAGCAACCTCAAACGCTTGGGCTCAAGTGATTCTCTTGCCTCAGCCTCCCAAGTAGCTGGGACTACAGGCACCCACCACAGCACCCAGCTATTTTTAGAGATGGAGTCTTGCTCTGGCTCAGGCTGGTCTCAAACCTGTGAGCTCAGGCAGTCCACCCGCCTCAGCCTCCCAGAGTGCTAGGATTGCAGGCATGAGCCACGGTGCCCGGCCCCTTTAGACTCTTGACTCATCTTTTGACAGTCCCCCCTCAATGTCATAGTCTCATCTTTTGCTCACAAGAGGGGCTTTTGAAAAGGAGCATTGATTTAGTTTAGGTTTTCTGAATATTGCCCTAGGCACCTCTGAGCCTAAGACAGGATCCTGAGCACCAGAAACCCCAGGCTGGGTTCATCTGGTTGAGTTGAAGACCTTATTTGAAGAAATGGCTGTCTTTGTTTTTATAAAGTCCCCAGGAGATCATTAAGCTGACTGGGAATGGGGTGGGCCCGGCCCAGGGAGCTCCACTGGCTCTTGTGTGTAGAAAGAGCTTTCAGATCAAAGTCAGGTTTAAACGTGTGACAGAAACAGGCGCCTGAGTAGTGACGGATCTGAACTAGGCTCAGTATCGAATTAGATTTATCTGGTTGTAAAGGTGCCTATGTTAAAAAGAAAAAATCCTCTGATCACTTTGATTCTCCCCACTCCAGCCTGCAATTCCAGGCAAGGCCACGGCTGACCCCACCCTGGGTGGGGCGCTGGCCCTCTCTTCCCCTGATGTCTCCGCCTGCTGCCCCAGGCCAGTTCTAGTGAAGTCTTTGAATAACGGCACCCAAGTCTGGGCTGTGTTTTGTTTTGATCCAAATCTGCTGCTTGGGCTTCAGACCAAGGAGAAGAGGAATTTGCTACTTCCCTACACCACCAGGCCAGCTACTCTCCTCTTCAGCCCCGCTTTATAAATTTGTTAAGAGTGAGGGGCTCGTCTGTCCGAGTCCTCTGGCTTCCTGTCCCTCAGCTGGGGTTTCCTTCAGATCCCAGGGCTGGGAAGGAAGTGTGGTCAGCAGCAGAGCAGGCAGTGCAGTGGGCCCCTCTCTGCTCCCTGGACTCGCCAAGCCACCTGTAGGCTGTCTCGGGTACTGCACCAAGTAGGGCACCCCGCCGGCCTAACTCCAGTGGACACTCCCTGCTTGTGTTTCTTAGGGGCCCTGCTGGGTGATCCCCAACCCAGTCTACTGTCCAGAGGTTGGGATCAGTGCTCTGGGAGATTCAGGAAGGGGTGTAGGCCTTGGGTAGAGCCTGCAGACGGGATCCACAGCCTTCTGTGTCTCTGGTTCACTGGGCCAAGAAATGTAACTCCTACAGACTCAGCCTTCCCATTTGATATAATGGGGATGGCGTGATCTGTCAGTCTCCTGCAATTGGGGTATCCAGTGCATCTTGGGAAGCCCCTTGGTCCAAGGCAAACCTGGATGGTAGGTAGGTCCCTCTACCTCCAGTCCGAGCCAAAAGGGAGGCCCAGAAGTCATGCAGGCTTTGGATTCAAGTCCAGTTAACACTATGCGTCCATCTAGAAGGCTACCTGATCCCTCTGAGCTTTGGTTTCCTCACCTGTAAAATCCTCACTTTGTAGGATTGTTTTGCGGGTGGAATCGGTTGCATTTTAATAGATGCGCATGCCCAGCACATAAGGGGTGCTTGGTGATATCCTGAGGAGGAGGAAAGGCTGTAGGAAACAGATCTGGCCCCAGTTTCTGCTACAGTGCTGGCTCCGCAGCTTTGGACATGTGAATTATCCTTTCTGAGCTGTACTTTCTTCATCTGTAAAATGGGAATAATAATACCAACCTTTCCGAGCTGCCGGGAAGATGATATAAATTGTCTCACTGAAAGTGGGGGCTCAAGGAATAGCTGTTAAATGAATGAGGAAACTTACAAGGTTGGACCTGGGAGGAAAGTATCTTTAGTCCCCATTAATGAAAGCCTGGCTTCTTCTGAAACACACATTTTAAATTGTACACATAATACCTAACTGCATTATGCATTTTAAGAGTTGAACTCTTTGGATAAGGTGAATGTCTCCTTGGGCCACCACCCCTGTCTTTCTGAGGGTGGCCTTGCATGTGGATACCCTCTGGGCAGCTGCCCCTTGTATGGGCCCCTGGAGCTGAGCTTCCATTCAGTCATGCCCTCTGCTGTCCCCCCCCTAGGAGGGAGACCTTTGACTTTGATGACGACTGTGACAGCCTGACATGGGAAGAGAATGAAGACACGCTGCTGCTCTGGGAGGATTTTACCAACTGCAATCCAACTATTGACCTGCAGGGGGAGGTGAATCTAGGGACCGGTGGGGGGGGGGGAACCTCCTTTCGGTGATCCCTTGTCCCTGTCCTTTCCCTGCCGCCCCCACCACCCAGCTAAATAGTCCTCTTTGTTCTGTTTCCCCAGCAAGAGGAGAACTTGGGCAACTTGATCCATGAGACTGAATCTTTCTTCAAGACGAGAGACAAGGAGTACCAGGAAACGATAGGTCAGATCGAGGTGAGCACTTGGGCCGTGAGCCTGTGAGCAAGGCTCTCCCTGAGGTCCACACAGTTGAGGATCCTGGTGACCAAATGCCGCAGGGGCGGCAGGGCACAGGATCGGGAGTCAGGGGGCCTGCCTGTTCCCCACCTGGCTCTGGGCCAGTTAGTCACATCCTTCTTAGGGCCTCAATTTGCTAATCTGTGAAATGGGGGGTGGTGATTCCCCCCGTCCCACAGAGTTATTTTTTAAGAAAGTACTCAGCTGAGATGATAGTGATCCCAGAGCTGACATTATGACATTGAGTGATGCCAGGCACTGAGTACACCGTTCCAGGATCCCTACCTCCATCTTATGTCCCAGGGACTATGTGCCCATTTACAGAGGGGGAGAAGAGGTTCAAAGAGACAGAGTAACTTGCCCAAGGCCTCTCAGCCAAGAAGCAGCATTTAAATCCAAATTTCTGGCTGCAGAGGCTGTGCTCCGGACCACTTTTATAGATGAGGATTCCTGCTATTACATGCAGGAGAAAGGGGAGCCCAGCACCTTGATAGAAGAGAGGGTCACAAGCATGAAAGGGCCTGGAGGGTCTTTCTAAACAAGTCAATATAAAGGAGCCCAGGGATGCTGAGTGTGGTGGAGCTATCAGAACTGCAGTGCTGGTGGGGTCTTCTCAGGGCAGGCTGCTGCGGCTTAGGGGTTGCTAAGCAGCTATTCCTCTCTGGCCAGAAGCAGTTCTGGAGGGTGGAGACCCGTGGGCAGAGAGCAGCGGGTGACCCCGAGGGCACAGTGTCCAAGAGCTAGCTTTCTTGATGGCGCCGCTGCTGAGGCATCAAGGAGGGAGGCTGTGGAGGGTTCTGCCATGAGGATGACTTGCTTCATCCTTGCTGCCCGTTGTTCCTCCCAGCTGGAGCTGGCCACAGCCAAAAGCGACATGAACCGCCATCTACACGAGTACATGGAGATGTGTAGCATGAAGCGCGGCCTGGACGTGCAGATGGAGACGTGCCGCCGGCTCATCAAAGGCTCCGCAGACAGGTACCTGCCGGCCCCCCTGGCAGGGGTTTCTGGGGCCACAACTTGCGGCCTGGGCATGTTTCAGCTTCCCAACCCATCTGTCCATCTGTCCATCCATCCGTTGACTACGAGTGCACCTTTGTGCTAGGTGATTTACCTGTTCAGTCTCCTGTAATGCTGGCCCCCCACCCCCGATTCAGCAGATACAAGTAGGAGCCCTCTCTGTGCGAGATCACAGGGATCCAGTGATGAACCGGACAGGAGGGCTCCTGCCCTTAGGGAGCTTACGCCCCATTTTCTGCTCAGCCTAGGGGTAGAGGAGGTGGGCAGGGCACGACTCCCCACTGTTTCTGATTAGGCCAACCCTGGGCCTGTACATAGGAGAATGGCACCTCAGACACAGCATGTGAACAGACAAGCCCCCTGCCTTCAGGGGACACACAGCCTTACTGGGGGACAGACATGCCAATAACAAAGTGAGATAATACATGGAGAATGCTTGGCATGAAGCACAGATACATACATTGATCATAATTGCTTTTCTAGCTTGGGCTCTTGAGCTGCACAGGAGGGGAGGCAGCTTGTGGTAGCAGTGTGTGGGGACCTCTGCCTAGCCCGTCATTCCTTTAACTCACCAAACCCCCAGAACCTGCTGTTGTCACCTCTTCTGTTCAGGTGGAGGAACGGCTTAGGCAGGTTAAACAGCCTGCCCAAGGCCTCTCACCCTGGCTCATGTGAGATAGAGCTGGGATTCCAACCTGATTGCCTGTTAAGCACCACCCTGTGTGGGGAGAACTGAGTCATCTGGGGTCTTCTGAGCACCTCCTCTGTGTCCAGACCTGTGTTAGGTGATTAGAGGGTCAGAACCAAGCTGGGTTCCTGGTCTCTGTTCTCCAGGGGCTTTCTGTCCACAGAAGCCAGCCAGCACACGTAGGCCAATTAGAGGCTAGGGCAAGGGGTCCCAAGAGGTCTGGAGAGCCACATTCAACTCGTGGGCCCAGCAGGGTGTCCAACCCTGTCTCTTTTCTGCCACACATCGGAAGCAGAGTTAGTTGTCTTGAGCCAACAATTAAATAAGCAAACACTAACTAAAGCTGATGAGCACAAAGAAAGGTCTGGACATACTCTTTGCCATATCCCAACGCCACAGATGAACAAAACAGGCCTCAAATAATCTGCACGTGGCCCTCAGGCCACAGGTTGGACACCCCTGGATATTAAGAGCAGCTGAGGGATTTTGGCTCAGCCTTCCCATTCCATGACACTTTAGGGGTCCCAGGCTGTTCTCTGAATGTTCCCTGTCCTCCTGTGCCTTCCAGGAACTCACCATCCCCCAGCTCCGTGGCCAGCAGTGACTCGGGAAGTACAGATGAGATCCAGGATGAGTTCGAGCGTGAGGCAGATGTGGAGCCGATGGTTAGCTGATGACGGCGGCCCCACACGCCTGCTGGTCTTGGTGATGGGGCCCCTGCCTTCTCTCCTCACGAGGCCAGGAAGGCTCCTCGGAGTGGGCTCAAGTTCTCGCCACACAGACTTCCTACGCCCTCCTTCTCTGGAGGTCCCAAGGAACCGCTGCTTCCTTCCACCCCAGCCCACCACCACCTGACCCTTCTCCATCCACCCACCCACCCAAGGAATGGTGCTGTCAATTTCTATTCTCCACATCACAAATGCAGACTTCTGTCCGGACGATGCAGTGTTAACTGTGCCTTCTCCCTTCAGCTGAGCCACTTTGAGCTCCAAAGAATTATTCCTAGCAGGTGTTTTTATACAAAAGTCTAAGGTGAGGGCCGGCCAGGCTAGGTACAATGTGGTTTTCTGCCCTCCCACCTGCTCCTCTGATTGGCCATGAGCTGTGCCCTCTCTTCCTCTGTGGCCAGCGTGGACTAACCTGGGGCTCGGGGTGGTCTGTCTCCCCTCCCCTTGGGACAGGGGCCGTTGGCCTCTGTGACCTTTCCAGGCCTGGGTGGGGATGTCCCCAATTTTCTCATTCCCTGAAAGAGAGAAAGATGAAAGGAAGGGAGGGAAGACAAATCATTCTTTTCCGTTTGGATCGAGTGGCAAAGTGGGGGACAAGGCACAGTGAGGGAGAAGGTCGAGCCTCACTGTGTTTAAACTACTATGCAAAAAACAAACAACAAAAAAGCAGCTTGCCTTATATCATTGTGGAAGGCAGGCCCTCTCCCAGACTTTGCGGCTCCTGTCCAGAGCTGGGAGGGAGGCCCAGCTTACGGTGGTCTCTCTCGCAGCCTCTGAGGGTGGGCGCTGACCGGGAGCAGGTGTGGCCGTCTGATTGCTTGTCCTCTGTGGGGTCGAGGTCGGGATGGGGGCCTTTTATTGCTCTGATGACTCCGTGTTTTTTTCCTATAACCAATGGTACAAGAATTGTAGATCTGCAGTTCCTCTGTGAGAAAGTCTGAAGGTTCCAGGCTTGGCCTTCACTCCTTTCCCGTGGTCCCGGGTCAGGGCCAGCCTCCCATAAGCCTGGTTGTCCACTGTCTCCCTGTTCTGCCACAGGCAAGAACGAGGCATTGGAGAGGGGAGGGGAAGGAGGCAAGAGGGCAGAGCGGACACCGGGGAGGGAACCATCCTTGCCCTGCTCATGGACTTTTGGGGAGCTAATCTGAGCCAGTATCTCCCCCAAGGCTTGAGTGGGCCCAAGTTGAAGGGCACTGTGTTGAGACCACCCACCAAATCTCAGCTTGGAGCCAGCCAAGCAGGCTTTGCTTTATTATTATTATTTTTTAAATGTTTTGTATCTACTGCAGTGGGCCCAAAGGCTGATTTTTGGGTTTTGTTGGCCCAGGAGCTCCCTCTGGTGGTCACAGGAACAAAATGCGCCCAAGGACCAGAACTCAAAACTCAAACCACTGCCTCTTGCCCAGCCAGAGGAAGGGGCTCTGGGTTTGAGGGGGATCATCGTCTCCCCAGGGTACCACAGACATTTAAGGGCCTTCTCTCTCTTCCGTTTCCCCCACATGTTTTTCAGTCTTAAAAATACTGTACATAGTATTCATATATGTGTATAGAGAGAGAATGTGTTAGTGGCTGTATGATGTAATTTATCAGAATTTGGTGGCCTTCATCATGAGTTTTTCTGTTTGTTTTGTTGGGGGAACATCCTATTGGTCCTTTCATGGTCAGCATCTCGTGTTAGCCAGACAGGCTCCTTGAGGGGACAATGGTACTTGGAAGGACAGTGGTTTCGGCAGAGAGATAGCTCCTTTCTCTCCTCCTCACTAACCCTTGTTCTAAAGGTTACAGGGTTCACACATACCTGATTGTTATTATTATTGTTGTTGTTGTTTTTGTTGTTTTGTCTTTATTTGAACCAAAGGTTATCAGAGCCAGTTGGGCTTGGACCTCAGCTGCTGAAAAGATTTTCCGTTTCCACGAGGGCAGGAGGATGTCTGCCCTTGTGGGTCTCCTCTGCCCAGGGCTGAGGGAGGCATCGAACTGTGTGTGGTTTGGAAGTTGGGTGGGTGGAGTGGAAGCCGGCCCTGATTGTTCCTCAAGGTGACAGGGAGGGTGACAGACGTATCTTTAGAGTTTAGACAGTGGGGCAGCAGCAGTGCTGAGTGTTTGGGGGTAACTAAGGTTACCATGGTGATTGGTGTTTGGTGGTATCATTTTTGTTTTCCCCGTATACATACATAGGTCATTTGTCTTTGGGAATTGGGGTGCTCTGAATTTGCCTAGGGAGTTTGAAAGTGGCAGGAGCCAGAGAGAGACATGGGCCTGAGAGTCCCTAACTGCTGGCTTTCACTATCTGTCCTTCCCTTGGGAGCAAGGACTTGGGGCAGGTGTTTGGGTTAGGAGGGCACACACGGTATGACCGGGCTGCCCCCTAGGCTGTCCTGGGTCTGGCCTGGCCACCCGCTTCCCCACCATGTGCTTTTTCCAGTTAGTTGCCAGTGGGCCCTGCTTGTCCCTTTGCCATGAGCCCACAGCTTGCCAAGAAAGACCCCAGCGCTCACTGGGGCAGCACCAGGCCTAGCTGGGACGAATTGGTCCGTCCTTTGTAAAGCTGTAAATACTTGATTTTGATTTTCTATATCTAAGCCCGGTGTCATATTGACATTGGTATTTTAGAATTGTTCTCAGATGGGCTCTCCAGTGCTGTCCTCTCTCTCTCTCCTATTTTGGGGGATTTTATATAGAGGATTGGGGAGGGGCAGGGAGGGTAGCGTCCTATTGGCTCCCTGGTTGGTTGTGAAATACACTTATACACTCACTCCTCTGGGACTCTGAGCAGGGAAGAATACTATTGGCAAGCGAACATATTTGGTTTTCCTGTGGCAATGTATCTTCCGGTCTCTGAAGCACCGGACCATCATGGACTTAGCTCTGTGGGTAGGGCTCAGATGACCTGGGGAGAATCAAACCACTCTCGCTTGGGTTGGGAGGAGAGGGGCAGGGTAGGGGATAATATAAGGTGTAACTTAAGCTAAATATAATCTATTTATAAAGCAAGAGACTCTCATCTATTTTTATGAAAGAAAAGATTTTTTAAATCTAGGGTAGGCAGTTGTGGTAGCCCAGCATTTTTCTGTGGACCAGGTATGGTGCATGTTGCCACAGGATTGAATATAATCCATACCCTCCCCTTCTTTTCTTCCATCCTCACTTCTGATCATCCACACCTGTGAACACCTTCAGCCAAGAGTAGGTCCACTTCACTCCATTGCCCTTTCTTCTAACCCCTGAGCTCCTCGGAAGTCTTGGAGTGGCACTTGTGGGGACAGGCAGGCTGTGGGGAATTCAGAATTGAGGTGGCTGGGGGGAGGGAGGAGGGTATTAGATAGGGGACAGATCTATTGTAGAGTAATTCATTACTCTAAGTCTGATCTACCGAGATCCATTTCCAAGTTGGCTGTGTTGGCAAAAGGTAGAGAAGCAGCCAAGTGGATGGGAATGGGGCTGTCAGTTCAGGGGGTACATGACTTCCTTCAGGCCTGGGCCCTAGTGGGCCCCAGGCTGTCAAGCAGCCAGAGCAGGGGTGGAAGTGACATAGGATGTCCTTGGCCTGGCTGTGCCTATTCCAGGCTGAGGACAAGCTACAGTCCCTGCTGTCCTCTTCTGGGGCCCTGGGTAAAGGACTGGGGTGCTGGGGGTTTCCCAGACCTGTGTCCTCCCCCTGGAGGTATTGAACTTTACTGTAGAAGGGCACTCTCCTGGGCGGGGGGGTTCTGGAGGTGGTGGGTAAAGCCAGGTTCTCCCTTTAAGGGAATTTCTCATGAGTGGAAGATTCCTGGGCCCAGGCTGTCAAGTCTTGGGACAATTCCTCACTACCCTACCTCCCTACTCACCCCTTAAAGCCCTCCCCTGCAAGGCCCCTCTGTGGACATTTTAGCCTCTACTTGATTTTTAGCCCCATCCTGGGACACTTCATATCTCATAGTTCCATCCTACCCTCCTTTTGCTGTTTGTCTGCCAGCTGGGTCTAGCATCACTGGGAAGGGGCATTTATACTCACTGAAAGACTACTGATCCTAACGGAAACCAACCTGTTTACTGTACTGTTGTAAATACCGTGCCCTTTGTATCCTGTATATTGGCTTCTTTTAAATAAAGTGAAATGTCTTAAAAGTTGATGGTGCTTTTTTTAAAAAAAAAAAAACTTGAGGATGAATCAATCTGGAATTGGGGGAAAGGTAAGAAGACTGAGAGTCATATAAATACCACAATAAATTCTTTGGCAAATGAGCGATAAACCTAAGGAAATCTCACATCACCTGTTACATGTGCATCTCACAGAATCGTGGGAGAAGACAAAGCAGGAATTATCATACACATTTTATCCAAGGGGAAAAGAGAGAGATCACAGGCTGAGTCACTGGCATAGCCTGATTTGGAATCAAGGTCCTTAAAACCATAGTAAAGCCCCCATTTCCTAAGCCTTTCCACAGTGCCTAGGAGAGACCCCCTGGCAGGGCTCTGGGTTGATACTGTCTAATGTTTTAGTTTTTTTGTTGTTGTTTGTTAATGGCCAGGTTCAGGCAACATTGCCCCAATACCCCAATGTGACCTGAGCCCACCTGACTAGGGTCTTCAAGGATGAACACAAAAGGATGAACAGCCACTAGTAATTCCAGTTTGCTTTCTGCCATTTCTAAGACGTGGATTTACAGAGGAGCTTCCCTTTCCTACTGTCCATTTAAACAAAGTATTTTTCTTTCTTTCTTTTTTTTTTTGGAGGCCATTCCACTCAGTCAGCCTGGGGTTAAGTGCAGAGGAATCATAGCTCACAGCAACTTCAAACTCTTAGGCTCAAGAGACCCTCTTGTCTCAGCCTCCCAAGTAGCTGGGACTACAGGCACCTGCCACAACAACTGCTAGTTTTTCTATTTTTAGTAGTGAGGGACTCTCACTCTTGCTCAGGCTGGTCTGAAACTCCTGAGCTGGCTCCACCTGCCTTGGCCTCCCAAAGTGCTAGGATTGCAGGTGTGAGCAGCGGTGCCTGATCTTAAAGTATCTTCAGTGGTGTAATCTAGAAAAGGAGTGGCCTCAAGTGATGGGGTTTTGAGGCCGGTTATTATTTCTTCCATTTTGCAGATGAGGAAACTGAGGCCCGCACAAGTCATGTAATCTACCCAGTGTCCTGGGGGCATCACAATAGATTCCTAAGCCGGTGCCAGGTTTGTAATGCTTTAAGAAATATAGACAAATTAGAATGGAGGGTGAGAACAACTGTAATAGCACTTTGGGATTAAATTGGGTCCCCGAGCACACTCGAGATGGTCTGCGGGCGGGGCGGTGCTGTCCTGCTGCTCCCCGGTGGATGAGACTTCAGAATCCAAGTTTTAAATAACGTTCGAGTGTTCACCAAACAACGCAGAGAAAACTGAAATTTTCACATGAAGGGAAAAAAAAATGCCCAGCAACAAGTGGTTTTTCGGTCAAAGGCTTCAAAAGAAAAGCTAAGCATTGACTGACCCGGGTTTTATCTTGTATGGATGGTAATCAGCAGAGAAACAGGCCCCAGAAGCTGGCT